TTTTGTGATTGTTTGTTGGAGATTCCTGAATGAGTCTGAGAGTCACAGGGAAGGACTCATATATGCCCTTCTTAAATAACGCTCCATTTTTCCAAGAAAACACCACACTGAAACCTGGATATTACTTAGAACTAACCTTTCATTGTTTAAGTTAATCTATCTGTCTGCTACATGCACATGTGAGCCACATTTTTATCGCTATTTTCTAATGAACTAAAGGTTACTGGGTGTACAATAGAGTCTCTTCTGGTGCTTTCCTTTCTGGTATGGCCGCCAGCAGCTAGCTCAGGCCTTGGCGTCACCTCATGCTTTACAGTTGCTCCTTCACTGAATTGTAGAGTAGCTGATGCTTTTGCCAACTGAATTGGGCATCTAATCAATAGTGATATCTTCTCTGCCATTCCCTATTTCACTGGCAGCATAGACCACTTGGCAATTCACATCTTTTCCTTAAACAGTTCTGGGGGCCATTTACATGATCTGCGACAACAAAAATAAAAAGGAACTTAACAAAGAAGCACCTCTTATGATGAATACTATGGAAATTGCGAAAAAAATAATCATCTCATCAGAAGAACATGGTGAATTTGATTGAATCCTTCTTGCAAATTCTACAAGACTTTCCATGGAAACAAGACAGTATCCTACCTGTATTTTACCTCTTGGATCTATGCTTTGATTGGAAGAGCTTTCTGTGAATTCAACAGCAATTTTCTCAACAACTCCAAAGCAGTGTGCAGCGGAATCTGTTCATTCACAACATAATCTTCAACAATAAATGATTTCAGCAGCAGCATTTCTCGCTTGTTCCACAGGTACTTTCTTTTGCTTCTAAGAGCTTACATCGAAATAAATCTCTTCTAAGTGCATCCTGTTCTACTCTACAGCTGCCTTTCCTCTCCCAGAAAACAAATTCTTGAATACATCATGCGAAACTCTAAAACACTTTCTGTTCAGGACCCTTGTGGTTAAGAGCCTCCAACAGCATAAGTCTCATCCTGTTGACGTTGTTCTGTACAGTGTGCCCTTCAGGTCTTGGAGAATCAAAGTTTCTGGAAAACTACACCAATTTTAATAGATTTTGACCAAATGCATTTACAAATGCATATAACAGACTTAAATTATATATTTGCAATAACTGAAAGACAAATGAGATAAAAAGTCCATAAAAAATAATTTTCATTAATAAAGGAATTACCTCAACAACAAAGGGGAAAGGTTTTCTTCTGCTTCCCAACTGGATAAAAGTAAAAGTTCTTACCTCCAAGTATTCCCAGCTTGCTATCAGCTGCTCTGCTTCATATATCCTAAGGTTTTTACAGGGAGACCTCTTTTTCTTCTTCCTCTCAGGAAATAATATATCGGCTAAACTTAAATTGTGGAGAATGTCGATGAAATATGCTCTCGCTTAGGGAGATGACTTGTATATCTTTGTTTTGACTGCACTGAGGGAGAAGGAAAGGGATATTTACATTCTGAAAGAGTTTCAATTTTTCTGGTCCAGTAAGATCTCTATATTCTGGCTTCTTACTCTCCTTGTTGGTTCTAAAGTTAAAAGAGATTCTAATACTTTCGATAAATTCTTCATAACTTCTCATGTGTTTCTGCTTATCTATTGGGAATCCATCAGAGAATGTTTTTCTTTTCAATAGCATCACCTCTTCTCAACTCCCTTGTGAGCAATTCAATTAAAACATCTGAAATCCTGAGAGAGAAATATGTGTCTATGATAACATGATCCATGATCCATGGGTATAAAATCAAATAGTGGTTTTACTTTACAGTTGAATTTCTTTCCAGTGGAAAACTTTATTTCCTCAATAGTCCTAGTACCAAATGTAGGGTCACCAATTGACCACTTTACTAGGCTCTCTCTTAGATTATCATATGTCTCTGTAGTTTTTACAACAGCGAGTACGTAATTCCCCTTCTTGCCTATTGCCACCTCATTTTCATTGAGCAGGGTGAAAGTAAAGTTGATAACTGTAAGCCTTTTTCCAATATTTGTTCCATCACCACTAAGCTTTATCCTAATAGTTTCTCCATCATTGATTTCTCCATTTTGCTGAAGTCTCACAATATGTTCTTGCAAGGATTCTGCAAATCGTAATTGGAAACCCTCAGCATCCCCTTGAGTTGGTCTCAGTGCCCATTTGCTGTTTAGTTCAATAATTCGCTTCTTAGTGGATTAGGTGTTGGGAACGTCATTGGCTTTGATGGCAATTTCATGCAGGGCCTCATGTGAAATATTAAACTTGTCTTTTAGATAGAGCCCCACGTTTATATTATCAAGGTCATCATTGGTAAGTTCCTTTGGATCAGACTCTGTGAAACTCAGTTCTCCCTCTTCAACAAGATTAAAAGTTTCATGCTGATTATTATCAGTGTTAAGCACTTCAATTTTTGTGGCATTAAAATTTTAGAGCCTAAGAAAGGACAGAGTAGTTTGGCACTCCTCCTTCAAAGGGTTTTTTATTCTCTTCTGGTGATGCTTAGAATGATCATTAAACTTCTTTTTAGCAGGGCGTCTACCTTTTTTGCCCTTGATGATAACCTTTTTGGCCAACTGCATAAATTGTTTCTTATAGAAAGCTCCATCCTTCTCAGCTTTCTTAAGAACTTGTCAGGCTTTCTTAGCAACTCGCAAACGCTTTGCCTTCTGTACTAGTGATCAAACTTTATATATTTTATATTTGATTTGATTTACCTTGTGATATTGCATTTTCTTGTTGATGGGCAGGCTTGACCTGTCTTATCAAATGATAATGATAATAATAGTAATCATGATAACAACAACAACAACAAAAATAATGATAATAATAAAAAAAGGGCTTAATTCATGGTTTTACACCGACCTCAAAACGTTCAAGTTATCCATAAAATAGAATGAACTAAACACTCGAAATTACCAGATACAGTGTGTTTTGAAAAATCAAAAGGACATTTATTTACAAAGAGAAAGGCAATGGTGTTTTATAGTCGTCCAGGGTAAGTCCTTTGTAATTCACTCTGCAAGCCACATGATGTGATCACCTACTACCAATGCGCCAGTCTTATTGTGATTGTCTTTTGGAGATTCCTGAATGAGCCTGAGAGTTGCAGAGAAAGCCTTATACATGCTCTTCTTAGGTGATCCTCCATTTTCCAAGAAATTTCTCAATGAAACCTGGACCTCACTTAGGACTAACCTTTCATTGTTCAAGTATCTGTCAGCTACATGCACATGCGAGATATTTTTTCTATCACTATTTTCCAATCAACCAAAGGCTACTGGGTGTCCAGTGATGTAATAAACATTTAAGTTTAATAAACTGGTGGTAACCAATTGTAACAAAAATCATAGTAAGCACAAAACTACCAAATTTTTCATTTTTTTTTGTGATAGAGCTTTTAATGGGCGTGGCCTTCGGAAATATGATAGAACGTTTTGTCAACAAGGAGTATCTTATTAAACCTTGCAAGATAGCCATGTGTTGTTTTCATAGTTCTGAACATCCATTTTGTCTTTTTAAAGCCGGCATTCTTTCAAAGCGTTCACTCGCTTCTTGGATTTGTCTACTGTGTTAGCATAGTTGATGCTCTTCATAAGCTTTAAGAATATCTCTTGCTCATCAGAGGAAAGGCCATTCTTCTTTGACTTTGACTAACAGTGCATTGCTTGTAATCTATGGAAATTGCAAATGTACACCAAACTGTTGGGAAATTGTTCTACAAAGGCAGTGATTTCTGGATCGGCTGGGTTTCATCCCTTCATTATGGCAAGTGCTTCATTTATAGAGGCTTGATCTTCTGACTGGCACATGAATTCAGCCACAACCTTATATCCCACGTTAGTATATACACGAACTAAAGAGAGTGGAATTGCGTACCTTGTCATTTTGTACGTGGCGTCCATCAGAACCAGTTCACCAGTGGCATATCTTTGAAACATTCGTTTTTGCCATGGCTCTTGATGATCTACACGGCTGAAATCGCCTCGGCAAGATCACCCAAATCAACTCCTCCTATGTGGAGTTGTACAGGTTAATCAACTGTGGCTGTGCGATGTTCTGCCTTTGCCATTGTCCTCGTGACTTCACCCTTCTCTCTACCTGTCCAATTCCCAAACCCTCAGGGAGAGTTGAGAGTAAATGTACCAGCTTTCGGTCCTTCAATGTCACACAGATGAGGTTGCCACTTTGACGGAAAAGCGATTCTCCCCTGACAAGGCTTTTGACCTGCTAGCATTGCTGGTCAACAATGTCCTGAGGTAGGTACTTTCTATTTCCCCTCACTGTTCCACAGGCTCTAATTCCCTTTTTTTCCAGTTCTAGAAAGAGAGGTACATTGGTATACCAGTTGTCAACAAACAATTTGTAACCTTTGTTGAAATAAGGCTCTGTTAGCTTTAGAACAACTAGCTGAGCCAAATCCTTGCTTGCTGCTGGACCCTCTTTTCCAGTGTAAATAGAAGTACCAAGTACACAGCCAGATGTTGAATCTGCTATAACAAAACCTTTGATTCCAAATCTGCTTCTCTTTAAAGGCAAAAATTGTCTGAAGTGAAGACGGCCCTTGAATTTGACCAGTGTCTCGTCAAGAGATAAATTCTGAAAAGGCGCATATACAGCCGTAAATTTGGGCACAAGAGCATCTAAAAATGGTCTAATTTTCCACAGTTCATCCCTGTTGGGATCTGTCTGGTTTGGGGCATTGCAATTATTTACAAAGTGGAGATATCTCGTAATGTGAAGGTAGCGGTCTCTTGACATAGTGCTAGAAAACAGTGGAGTTTTGGTGACCGAATCAGTTGACCAGTAAGCTTTCAAATTGCTTTTTTTGACAAGACCCATTGCCAATGTGAGCCCAAGCCAAGCCTTTAGCTCTGGAAGGGTAAAATCGTGGAGATCACTCAGGGAATTGTCCTCAAGCTGCCGTTTTTGATGCTCAAACCGTTTGGTCTCACGAATAATCCACCCGGTTCACTCGGAGGAAATGGGCTCACCCCGGAGAAAGAAATTTCCCTTGCTGGGCTCAGCCCACTTCAAAATACATTCTTAGCATTCTCGTTGTCAAACATTCCCAGATTTCCTCTCGGTCGTTCTATCACCAAGAGCTATTTCTCCTTTGTTTTATCCAGCGTGTGTTTTATGGACGGTGGCTTATTTACATAACTTCAAATGAGCGGAAAGCGGCTTAAGCCGTTTTCTTTCGACGCTACTTTTGTAGACAAAAGTGGAAAGAAATCGAGGAAAACTTTTTCGCTAACGGCGGAATCCACGCTTCGTACCCCACGAACCTGTTCAGTTGAAAATGAACAACCTGAGATCGTCGAACCTTTCTCGTTTGAGGAGTTTAGTGAGAGCGGTTCTGGTCTATCTTCGTACGAGAAAAGACATATCGCCAACATCCAGAAATGGGACAACATAAGAAGACAGTTGTTTGATTCTTATGTGGAGGAATGCTGTTTTCCGACTGACACAACATGTGTTTACTGCCTCCAAGAACCAGCAACACTGCGATGTCAATATTGTGGCCCCAAGCAGTACTTCTGCCTTGAATGTGCTAATATTTTGCACAGTGTGAGGAACCATTTTCATGTTTTGGAAAAATGGAAGGTGAGTTTCGAAATGTAATAAGTGGATTGAGTTTGTTGGTTCTCTACTCTGCTCCGAGAGGTTTCCGATCGAACTGCTGTGGGACCAACTTTTGTTTGACATTATTATTCTCGCCCCTTTTTTGTAAGCTGATCTATTGCATATCAGTTATTAAGGAATATATGAATAAAGTAGTTAAAAAAGAACAAAAGTTTTAATTTTCATCCAAATAAAAATTATATGAATATAAACCTGGTGTAATTGTCAAACAAGATCTGCTGCAAGGAAAAACTTGTATCTTCCAAAAGCAAAAACAAATTATGACAAATTCATTATCAAATTCATAGGTACAAAAATATGGAGCTCAGTAGAGAAACTATTACAAACTGTTTCTTCGCTAAAAATGTTTAGAGCTTGTATCAATTCAAGGTAGAAATAAAAATGTTGTTGTTGTTGTGTAACATAGAGTATATTGTCAATTCAGCTGTCATGCTGTCTGTAGTGCAATGAATCAAAATATTCATTGTACCCCTTTTCATGTAGTTCTTATTCTTATTAACCGAGCGGGAGGTCTGTATGGGAGAATCGAGACCGAGATCACCAGTACAGACCGAATACAGTGAGGTCTGTACCAGTGACCAAGGTCAAGATTCTGTCATACAGACTGACCTAGCTCGGTTAATAAGATGTTTATTACATGGCTGTGTCTTATATGCCATTTTTTTATATACTTTTTACCTGTTTTTCCTAGACTGGTCTAGATGCTGGTCTAGATGAGAAAATCTAGACCGCTTTCAACATTGATTTCAGCCAATTGATCAAATTTGTGAATTTGGTAGTTCCCAGTCTTCGTGAGACACAGCCATATAATAATTACTATTTATTAATATATTGCTGGTGTCTCTACTAAAAGTAAGTAATGTTATTGTATATTTTAATTAATTTCAGGAGGGGATGTTCACCCCTTATGTGGTCAACGGATTACTGTAATAGTGTAATGTAATAGTTTTCTAGGGCTGTTGAGACTTCCCAAAACTCGCCTATTTTGATGAAAATATTGTCTGGTGTATCCTTTTAGAGTTTTTTTGTGATATAGTTAGCATAACTCCATAGATACCCCTGATAACAATCATCTAAAGGCTTTCAATTGGCTGTACCATTAAAAGCAACTATAGAATGATTAAGAAACCTGTATCACTGAGAACAGAAAGTTTTATATAACATTGGAGGACCTCTAATAATTATTCACTATGGCTTGCCCTTATAGGAAAATAGCAATATGACATCATTAACATTTTTGAGTAATTATGATATTAATGATAATGTAAAAGCTAATATAAATATTCTCAAACCATAACAAGATTGAGTATATTGGTGGTATTTAATGATGTTGGTCCCAAGACCCAAACAACAATATCTTTTATAACATTTATGAATAATAATGTAGACTTTATAATAATTAACTAGTGGGGTATACTCCATGTGGACTTGAAAAGATTTAAAAGTGCTTGATTAGTATATAAAGCTATACTCTGAATGTGAAAGAAAAAAATTGGAAATGGATTTGAATAGTCAATACCCTGTTATTTGACACAGAGCTTGAAACCATTCCAACTTTTTGCATTCCAGCACAAACCTTTTCATTAATAACTATTAGTTAATTATCTGCGAGTGTGTACTCTCATATATTTGCTATGATAGCCAATATATGGGATTACACACTCCCAGAGAATTAACTAATAATTATTAATGAAGAGGTGTGTGCTGGAATCCAAAAAGTTGTAATCACAAAAACGTGCATGGAATGGAATCACACAAATGCATGCATACAATAATCATTGCAATCTTACTGTATTTTTGGTTGAATAGTGCTGTTATGTCTTTATATGTAACATCTTTGTTGTCTGCACCTGTAAATAAACATAATTTAGATGTTACTAACTACTCCGAGGGGATATTCCAACTGGTTTAGGGAATATGGGTGCTCCACAGGATCCTGATAATATTACCCTTGTGACAAATAAAAATATTTTTTGATAATAACCTATCAGATCCGAAAGAGTTTAATTCTTGGGTGGTGGTCACTGTAATTGAGGATAGTTGGTTATTTAGCATTGTAATGGTATGTGTATACCCTGAATTACTTGACAGGAACTGTAGACAAAGTTGGAAATGTAGTTCAAAAGGATACCCTATTTATGACTCAAAGCTTAAGCTTGAAAAACCATACCCTGTTCTGCAGATCATTCCCATATTCCGGAAGTCAGTATATGGCACAACCCCCAGCATCTTACAATTTACTCATGAAACTTTATTACATGTGACCTACATGGAGGTGTTAGATTTTGCAGAACTCAAACAATAGTGCAGAAATACTGCAAAAAATTAGTGAAAAGCTTACCACCAAAATGGCTTTTGAATTTAAACATCAACTCGGGATTCCTTGACAAAAAGTCTTGACCTGCAGGGGATCCAAAACCAAACAACTGTCCATCAGGATCTTTTTGTAGTACCGCAGTGCAACAGCCATATCCATCAAGAATGTTTACCTATAAGAGACAGTTCAACAGTTTCAAATGAACAGGCAAATATATTTTCAGCATTATGAAATAATGATGGAGTTAACAAGAAGCTTATTTAAGCTGACAGGAAAGAATTTAACAACTCGATGATTAAGGATTTAATTCTGCGACTACTTTATTCTTTTTTCCTTCTTTCTTCCTCTTCTCCAACTTTCTATACTTCAATCTTTGTTTTTTACCGTATTCATATGGATTTTTTTTTCTCTTTGTTCGTTTTTTATGCAAAATTTATATGCTCAATTACTAACAGGATCTATCGATGTGGGGATCTGAAGTTTAACTTTTCACATTTGCCCCGACCCGTGTTGTTGAAGTATTTTGAGAACTGATTGAAATAAGTCAATGGAATCAATGTGGAATATAATATTTTGACACTCGTCAAACGCCGAGGAATTGAAAATAATATAATATGACTCACCAGCTTAATTATTTGATCTCTTATCTTTTTGACGGTCCTTTCAATATCTTCGGGATTCAACTCGCCCGCTATATTCTGCGAACTCTTATATAAAATTTTTTCTTCAGCAGTGAGTTTCGCCCACTCTTTGGCAGCAAACGAATTTCTTTCTACCATAGAAAGGTTTCGACACTGATCTAGAATTTAAATACAAAGTGTGCATGAGCGTTTAGTTTAATTACTCTCTTGTTTAGCTCTAAACTACTTTTCCAATTACTAAAGAACGACAAAAACCCTACTCGATCAAGCATAGCTTGGATTAATTTCACTTTGAAAAGAAACATAAAGTTTAAAACGGGTTTAACTTCTGTGTTGTTTGTTCGTAATATTATGAATGGCGTAGAAGAATATTTCATAAACTTTTACCTTTGTTGAACAGCTCCTTACAAAAGTTATTGTATGACGTGGGAGCTCGTATGCAGGGGATGCTTTTTACGCTTTTTGCTGACGGTGCGGTATCTTGATCACTCGAAGTCGAACTTGCCGCTGCTTTTCTCTTCTTTCGTTCGCTTCCAATCCAATTCTAAATATTCAATCAAAAATAAAGAACTAATAGTAAATCGAATCGGTTTTTATTGAATTCAAAAGTGTATAACTAATTTATTTAATAGTAAAAACGCTTGGAAGATGTCACTACGGTGCGTGACATTCGCGGCAACCACCAGTAAAAGGGTCCGAAACACACGCCTTACCAGCGAGATGACAGAAAAGGATCCAAGCAACATTCCATATTTACGCTACTATCTAACATAAATATATGGAATCTATAAAAGCATTTTAACCAATAAAGTCTTACCTTTACAGTTTCCTTAGTCACTTTGGCTTCTGCACTGGCCTGTTCAATGAGATCGTTGTGGGCTTGACCCTTTCCAGTCATGCCTTGGTCAAAATACCGAGACAAAATGGATCTTTGAACATCAGTTAACAGATTATTTTTCCTTGATGAAGCCATGATTAAACGATTGGTACAATACTTAAGTCACGATTGACTATGATCTAGATTAGCTATGGTCACGATCAAACGCTGGATAGAGGATATGCGATCTCTTGAGAAAGATCAGCTCTTGTTGACATGGTAACAGAACGACCGAAATGAAATCTGGGAATGTTTGACAACGAGAATGCTAAGAATGTATTTTGAAGTGGGCTGAGCCCAGCAAGGGAAATTTCTTTCTCCGGGGTGAGCCCATTTCCTCCGAGTGAACCGGGTGAATAATCAGCTGATAAATATCATGAGTAAACAGAAGTTGGAAGCAATCCAAACAGTTACTATCATTGTCCATTTCTACCCTCATACCAACCTCTTCTCGAAAATTTATGCCTTCTAGGGGTTGTATAGCAGATGTCCATCTCATATTGGAGTAGTTTTGCTCCTCTTCATCGCTGTTTTCAATTCTCCATCACTTTCCCCTTCTTCTTCATCGCTATTTACCTCTTCATCGCTGCTATCGACATTGAAGGCGCTTCATTGTCAGAATCCACGTAGGCGATTCGTAGAAATGCTACAGGCAAGTCATCTTCGTCCACAAAAGTTAATCCCATCGATTCTGCAGCCGCCATTTCGATCTTTTTCGCTAACAGATGTCTTACAAATTTTTTGGCAACGCCATATTTAAATGGCAGACGCGATATCGGCAACAACTGGAGTAAAAAATTCGGGAAAATTCGTATTTCGATGTTTCGAAGAGCTCTTTTCGCTGAAATGAGCTTCATTTTATTATCCAGCGGTTTAATGCATAAATAGCCTCAGTTCCCCACGGGCATGCTTTAAATAGCAACAAAAATAGGTGATGTAATTTTCTACGGCTGTGGCTGTAGTTCGTCCCCCAGGGGTTAACGTAATTAATAAAGCTTTAATTTTGGAATATAGTGTGCTCATGTTTCTTAATACCAGCAGTTCTTGCATTAGTTTACTGGTGAGATTCACCTTGTCTTAGTTAATAATTTATGTAGTAATATTAAACCAAAAATTGTGACATACGTATCAAGTCACAGTCAAGTGTAATTCTACAGTTTTACTTTCTTCTTTTCTTCATTTCGTAGAATTTCTTTACCGCTCTATCACAAACACTTTCCTCATCTACATGATTTTTGGATGCATAAGAAATGTACATCTTACATTCATCTGCACTTGGGGACATTTTATTTCTCAATGCCCCATGAATTCGATTTTGTGCAGAAAACCCTCTTTCACAAGGCAAAGAAGTGAGAGTCATTGTTTGAAAAACTTGTGCTAGGGTAACAAAGTGAAGTGAAGGAGTATGTCATCGTAAACACCTGGCTTTGCACAGTTCATGAAGAGGTTTGTCCTTGTTACTATTAAGAGTACTTGTTACTTGTAATAGTACCAGTTCCCCGCATCAGAAGGAGACACTTTTTGGCAGAAACAATGAAAATAAGACTGGAACTGAAAACATTCTCTTACATGGCGGGAAAAGCAAATTTTAGACCTATTTTGGGGGGTTTTGGGACTCTGGCCAGTCAGAGACAAGGATTTTAATTTGCTTATCCAATTAGATTAGTAAAGTGCATTCGATCTCTGGTAAAAATTTTTTTTATTGTACTGATTGTACAGAAATATTCAGGGAAAGTGAATTGTGGGGTGCTTTTGGTTAGTGTCATAAACCAGTTGCAAAGTTGAACACAACAATAAGTTTTAATAGTTCAACATCTTAGTAATGTACTTGATACAATGGCAGTTGCCAAAACAACTAGTAGGACAAAATTGAACAAACCGATATATTATGTTTTACAGTAGTTTACTTTGGAATTCAATAAGAAACTTACATAACTCAACATGCCAATGTATTTCGTGGTCCACTTTTAAAAATTAGTTTTTAACGAGATTAGGAACCATCTTCCTGTCCTTCCAGCCCACACATGTAATTGCATCTTTCTGCCGATATAGGCTTTCTCCTCTATTCAAGCCTTTTACTTCTCCACTGCCTGGATTAGTTATGTCTTTTGGAAGCCCTTTCCTGTTCGATTGGACTGTCCCACAAGCAAGTGTGCCTCGTGAACTAAGCTCTTGGAACAGAGGCACTAAAGAATAGTAGTTATCCATGAATAACACGTAACCCTTGTTTTAAATTTTACTGACAAGGACATACCCACTACTCGACTCAGCTAGAGTGAACCATTTGAAGCCAAAGCGGCTAGGCTTGATTGGGATAAATTGGCTGAAGTAAATCTTCCCTTTGAAATTTAACAGAGTTGCATCAACTTCCCAATTTCTCTCCGGGTTGTAAACTTCTGACAACCTAGGCAACAAAAAATCTAAAAGCTTCCTTACCCTGAATAGCTTGTCATAATCTGAAGAATTTTTGTCTCTCACTTCTTCTTGGTTATCTTTAAAGTGCAGATAACGCATTATCTGCAAAAACCTGTCTCTGGACATTATGGATGGGAAGAATGTAGTTTGGATAGTTGATGTTCTTCTTCATTAAAGATGTAGAGTTGGTTTTTGCACAATTCCCATGTTGAGAATCAGCCACCCAAGCCTTGAACTCATCAACTGTTACTGGATACCACACTGACTTACCATCAGGGCCCTTTTTCTGCTGAGCGTACAAATTGGTCTGCTCCACTATCAGATTCCAATCGGCTTCGATGAAATATAATAGAGAATAGTCCACGGCCTATCCTGAAGCTGAATTGTCAGTCCAACAGGTTGATAAAAAACAACATCATCTCCAATATTTATGTCCCTTGACCACTCGTTCTCATCTTGATTGGCTTCACAGGGCCTGGGAATGTCGGCATTTTCAACCATATTCAATTTCAACCATATTTTGGCGAGATAATGCGTCACTATCACTTGCACGAGCCGCCATATTTAATTAAACTTGCAAACCGTCACGATCTCCGGGAAAAAACTCTATTTAGACCGTAAAAGCAAGTAAAATCAACCAAGTTTTCAATTCTGATTCAATATTTTTGTAATAGCCGCCATTTTGGAAATTGCTTTAGCTGTAGGCTTACTCTGCCGGGAAGATATGAGCAAAATAAGAGGGCTGGTATTCATCGACACACATATGCGTCACTAGGTAGCAAAGGGTTAAGTGTCATTTGACTGAAGGAACTAAAATCAACACTGACACATACATGTAGTATCACGCCTACCATCAGTGAAGTAGGCTTTTTAATTCCTTAGTTTTTTCTTTCTGTTGATTTCGAAGGGTGACACTCATACTGGAGTCACTGCTCTCAGAAAGTGAGGGATCATTCTCTTTGCGTCTCCTCTCTTGCTTATGCTTGCGGATGCTTGTTGCTAAGGGGGTAGTACCTGTGTGAGTGATGGCTGGGAGGAATATGTTTGTGATAGTATGGCTCAGCCTACAGCTATTTACTTTGCATCCTGTTCCCTGTTCCTGTTCTTGTTCCTGTTCAAGTATGAAATCTGAATCATTAATTATCAGCACAACAGTGGAATCAAAAGAATCTTTTGACTCCCCACTCACTGAGAAAAATGAAAGAGAATTGATTCTGGAATGATTTAATATGCATATTAATACAATCTGAATCAAAGAAAGATAAAAATCAAACCAATCTGAAATATATCAGAACAAGGAAAATTTGAGCTACAACATGTACATCAATCAAAATTTAGATCTATTTAATTTCCACGTAGAACTTTTTCATTACGAAAAATAATACTGTAATCTATGGTAGTTGTCGCGGAATCAAGAGGACTGTATACTTCTTTGTTTTCTAAACGCGTTTATTTTCTTCCATCACTCCTGACAATCTGAACATACTAACACTCTAACGATCTAAAACCAATCTGCCCTTACAATTCAGTGCTACTTCGTTTTACAGTTCTAGTTGCGAAATAAAGTAATTTTCCCACAATCACGAGTTCAGTAAATTCTCAATCCCAAAGTACTGTAATATACCCTATTTTAGTTGCAATTTCACAATTACACGTTTCTTTCCCTTATTTAGTTCACTGTACGCATGCAAATCAGTGTTGAACTTTGTTTACAACGTTGTGAAATATGTCACGAAATCTTCATATTCGCGTTACGATCAGTCTAGTATTTCGTTACTGTGTGACAATTTATAACAATCATTAATTATAAAGAAATCGTTCTCGACAGTAGTAACTAAAATCTTCATACCTCTTCGTAAGTTGGCAAACTGATATCACTTTCATCTCTGTAGTACGATTTCAAAAACAAAGCATCCGTAGTAGCTGTTATTTTGTAGAGGTATAAGGCCCGGTTCAAACGTCGAACTTTACATGTGCCGAACCTAATAGCAATTCGGGTCGACTCGAATAATTAGGTTCGGCAGTTGATTCAAACGTCGAACCTAAATATGTCGAACTTAATTGAGAAACTGAACATGACTCTACTGCGGTCAGCGGTTATTGCTTACCAAAATGGCGGAAAAAATGTGGGAAATACAAATGCTGGAAATGAAGAGCTTGTTTTTCTTGCAAATGCGATCAAGGAGGGTAGAAAAAGGCGACTTAAGATGCAGTTGGCATTAAACAACCTTGCTGCCAGGAGAAGACGAGTTTTGAATTTGGCTTGCCTTGTATTATTGCTTATTTCCCATAGGAACGTCACAGTTCCTCGTCCAGTTCGTTCGTGTCGTCGGCTAAAAAGAAATTCTGGCTGGTGGGAAAATGTTTGCAACACCTATTCAGACGCAAGATTCAAAAAAACCTTCAGAGTATCCAGGGGGATATTTAATTTCATCCTGAGACGTATTGAACCCTTCCTTATTCGGCAAACTGTGACGGAAGAACCGATACCACCAGCGCTGAGGCTTGCTATTTGTCTGTATAGACTAAGCCGAAGAGATTATTTCTATGCCATCGCCGAAATGTCTGGACTAGGCGTCTCCACAATTTCCTCAATTTGTCAGGAAGTCTGTCAAGTCTTGGTGGACCATTTATGGAACGAGAATGTGTCAAGTCACATGCCCCAAACTGAAGAAGAGTTTAAACAAAAAATTCTCGACATGGAAGAATTCTGGCAATTTCCATGCTGTTGGACAGCATTGGATGGCTGCCATATTCCTATGAAATGCCCGCCTGGAGGACTTCAGTCATGCAAAGAGTACCATAACTTTAAAAATTTCTATTTCATTGTACTGATGGCAATGGTAGACTCACATTACAGATTTGTGTGGGGTAGCTGCGGGTTTCCAGGAAATTCTCACGACGCAGTTATTTTTAGATCAACCGACCTTTGGACCCGTATCCAAGAAGGCCTCATTCCAGTAATTGGAAAAACTGTAGGAGATGTTACTGTTCCACCACTTGTAGTGGGGGACTCTGCATTCCCTCTACGAACATGGTTGATGAAACCATATACTAATGCAATTCTGACCCCCAAGCAACGTTACTTTAATTACCGCTTAAGCAGAGCTCGCATGGTTACAGAGGGTGCTGATGGGCAGCTCAAGGGTAGGTGGAGGGTCCTACTCCGAAAGAGTGAAAGCAGTCAAGATAATGTCCGCATAACAACATTGGCATGTATGGTTCTCCACAATATATGCATTGCACGAGGAGATGCCATTTCAAAAAAGCTTGATTTGAGTTTGGATGCAAATGGTCAAAAGAGAAATCGTGAGGAAATAAGAAAACTGTTGCAGATGAGAAATTGTTCAAGCATCAGAGATGTGTCACTGGAGGCAAATAAAGTAAGGAATGCACTATGTGAAAAACTATGGCTTGAGAAGGAAACTGGCAAAGTCTGTTAATTCAGTACTGATACATTTACTATTTTCACCAAATTATTTTCATATGATTGTATCAAGTGCAAGATTTAATTAGCCTGCAGCGCAGACAAACTAAACAGCTGTTTCTTTTTTTCGTTGTTGTTGTTGCTGTTTAATACATGTCTGGCTGCCTTGCAGGCTATACATTCAATCTGATCAGCAGCACTGACAGAGACACCACATGAAAGTCAGCCATGTTCAGTAAAAAAGAACTGTTAATGATAATACTAGGTTGTTTATAGTTAGATCTTGTGTTTTCCGTTGGTTATATTGTGGTAGAGCATATGTGGTCTATGTGCAGTGGAATTGATTTTGATGTTAATTTGATGGTGGCAATTTTGTTGTTATAAGTTATTTTGGGTCCCACATTTTAAGTATTGGAATAATTGGATAAACTTTGCATTATTCCCTTTATATGGGTGCCCACTAAGATGTTCAATCTTGGAGAAAAATGTTGAGCCACTTCACAAAAATTACTGCTTGTTGAGGGTACCAAAGGGAAAGTTTCATCCCCTCTTCGATTTCATTGTTGTCAAGATCAAATTTTTTCTTCACAGTGTCAATCCAGTCATAAAAAGGTTGTGAGAATTAAGGAAGTGATCAGCAAATAGACATCCCCTTGAATAATTAAAAATTCTCCCAACTAATACTAAAGGAAAGAAAGAGACCAGTAAGGAGAACTTGTCCATTGACTATGCAGCTTAAATGGTAAATTGCTTTTAATTGCATTTTTGTTCTGAAACAACAATGAAAGATGACTTTCATAAATTTAATATTAATAGAAAAATAAAGTTTAAACATTCAATTTTTATGTACTGCAAATATTGTTGAAAAAAAAACATTCAACATATAATTATTTTACTTCTGATATACACACATTTTCCTTGTAGTTTATTCATGTTAAATAAAACTCCTTTGATTGTTATGTATATTTTGCAATTGCCCTACAGCAGATATATCGTCTTTTCTCAATTAAAAACCCCTGGCATTTACCTTTTTGAAACATTGTGGACCTAGGGTTTATTTGACCCCCGAAGCTCGCTTGAGCTCTTTATTCATGAAGTTCTGGTTATTTCTTCATAAATTTGTATGGCTTTATAATGGGGCACGGGTAACATTTGTACAGACATAAATTGTTACATTATATCTGCACCTTGTTTAACCTCTAATAGATACTTCAGGGGTTTATTTAAAACTCCACCTTGGAGACCAGGCATTTACTGAAAGCCCGGCATTTAATCAAAAAACTACGGTACTAAAAAATGTTACTGTATCATCATTTTGCAACATATTGAACTGAAACAAACGTACAAATAAATTTATCCATATTCAACCACTTTTTTTTAATTCAAAGTGTTCAAAAGAAATCTATTCTTGCAAAAAAGAACTTAAGTTAAAACCAGTAAGAATGCTGTCCAATGCAACACAATAAATAGACCTGAGAAGAACTGTGGTCAAAGTAATAGTTATGAGCACATTATAACTAATAAGCTCTATGTCTACAATGCCTGGTATTTTCCATTGCCATAAAGGAAAGGGTTCCCATAAGAACCTTCAGACATGCTTTCCTGGGTGGTTTGTTGTGGCCCTTGAGAACCCTGCAATGATGGGTAAAACCCTGCTTCATGACAGGGAAAGCCCTGATTCCATGATTGGTAAAACCCTGTTTCCATATTGGAGGATGGAGGCACCATACTGGATGATGGAGGCAAGCCTGAATTGGCTCTATGACCAAGCATGAGTTGAAATAACTTCAACTCATGCTCTCGGGACTTTTCCATTTCGTCTTTCAGAAAGCTGATCATCTCTTTTGTGATGAGTTTCATCACTTGGGTGTTGTCAAGTTTATCTTTAGCAAATTTCTCCTTCTTTGCAGACCTTTTTGGTATATACAGGGCATCTTCGTCCCCAGCATTATCAGAAGGGTGGTCATCATGAGAACTTCTAGGGGTACATGGAGAGGACGATGATGATGGCTCTAAAGCACGTTCGGGCTGACAGGAATCCCTCGTTTTAACCACTGCAAGCAAGGCATTGAACCAGCTTCCAAACCCATGGTCTTCCTGGTACCTCTTTATTCCTGTTGCAGTTTTCTGAGTTAGTGCAGCTTGTTTACACTGGCTGACACACTTTTTGAACTTGGTCCTCAGCTGGGCAATTGACATGTTGAACTTGTCACCTCTTGCTGATGCCCTGCCTTTCAGCTCATCCAAGATTTTGGCATAAATTGGACTATTTCTCTGATTCTTGGTGTTCGTAAAAATCAGTTTGGTTTTAAACTCATTGCTGTTAACAACAATGTCAATGAAATCATCAAGAACTTTCGGGCACCATCGAGGTCTTCGCCCAGGTCTTTTGCCCTTCCTGGCCTTTCCTTTCTTTACAAATAGTGACAAAGCTTTGTCCACATCTTCATTGTCATCACCCTCTTCACTTGTAACATCATCTTCATCCTCATTTGCGTCAATGTTTTTGCTATAGGACAAACATTCAAACCTAGATATTAGCTTCATCAGCTTATTATAATTATGTTTCATAACCTGGGTTGGTGAAAATTAGACAACCAAATTTTACTATTTGAAACTTCCTACAATCTCCGCAGAGGAAATTATGAATATAATGATGTTAACTGAAATGATCACATGTTTTTCTTCAAAAATGTCTTTTCTCATAACCTTTCAGTAAAAAAGTAAACAAAAAAAGTTTAGGACCGAGATATCCATGGCAAACCTTAGCATTTGCTTATTAGCTCAAACTGACCAAACAAGCAAATTTAATTTGAGTGTGTAGCTCGTTTAGAACAAAAGAAGGGACATTATCAATACTTAAGCTTACGTACTTTACTTAATTCACGTCGCCTCGGGGCTTTTCAGAGAAATAATATCAGAATGACCTGAGAAGCATACCTTTTCAAAGCGGGCGGCTTTGTGGACTTAACATTCAAGCTTGACTCTTGGCTTTTCTGACCCACACTGGTCTCCTCGTGATCATTGCCTTCGGTTTCTTCAAGAATCATTTTCTCTCGAAAACATGACTCGCAGTACGCTACCGAACGGCCTGCTTTCCAACCCGCTACACTTTCATCATTTTCAAATACGGAACACCGCATACAAAAGTAATTCTTACACCTCAGACACGTATATTTCGTGTTCTCGAAGCAAGAGGAACACATATCTTCCGCTCTTCCCGCCATTTTGTTTGAAAAGATCAAAACAAGTCGTATGCGCATGTCAAACATAAGAATCGTGCAGAACTCTGGGTAAAAATTGATTTATTTAATGTATTTGTAATGTATGCATTAGATTCGGCACATGAAACGGTTCGACGTATGAATCAAAGTTGATCTTTTGCCGTTCTATCCGACAAGCCCGGTCGAATAGAACGGCAGGTCGACCCGAATACAAATCTGCCGGACCTAATTGATTCAAACGTCGAACTTTACATGTGCCGAACCTAATTATTAGGTTCGGCACATGTAAAGTTCGACGTTTGAACCGGGCCTAAGATAATTCGGTCGGAAGCCTTCCCTAATTCCTCCTTGTGTCGTTGTGGTGTAAATGGTTCCGTTCTCCCGGAAGGCACTTCACTTTGGTTCTATTAGGATATAGCAACGTAAAAGCTACTGACACCATATAAGCTTCAGTCGCTGTTATGTGGGGAATTAGTAAGGATAGCCCACACTGTCTCGTCTTCACTAGATTTTTATTCTTCTCCTCTTCTATTCTCGCTAGGTTTCACAACTGTCACAACTCCTCGACTCGACTGATATAAAAGATTACTTCGACTGAAAGCTAAATAAATCACAGACAATTGTTCCTTATCTTTGCGGGACACCTTAGTTAAAAAGAACGCTGATTGGCTAGATACGAATCTTCCAGACATAAGAATAACAAAATTTCCAGACAAACATTTCACAATCGCTATTTGATATCTATGCTATTATTCTGTTTCCGACAGTTAAACTTTGCCATCTTTTCGGCTCCTCTCCTGAAAAGTTCCTCTGCACCAATTGAAGGAAAGACTTTAAGCGGAAACGACGACCCTCCGATCGCTTTCAACCCTCCGTTTATTGTTAAGTGAACAAACCACCGTTTTAGGTAAAGTTTTTGAGTTTATTTTTCTCAAGTGCTAAATCGCTGTTTACAAAGATACCAGCTCTGTCGACGTGTTTTTAGCTGAAACTGGCCTTTCTCTTATATTGTTCTTTAATTTACAATCTATCCCACTTAAAATAACATGTTTGTGTAGTCCAGCTGTTTAGATACATTTTCAAATCAACTCTAGGTTGGAATTCTGTTTGTAAAGACTGTCGAAGAAATCCCAGAAATAATGCAACATATTCCTTCTCAGATACTCTGATTCATGGATTACCATTCATGGACAACTTTCTAACCCTGCTGAGAAATTATTCTCATGCAACATGAAGAGAAATGCACTTAGGTATGACTTGTGTAGTCCATGTTTTTGAAGTATATTATATCTGCAGACCTCAGGTTTCCCAGCTAAATATATGGAAATGACTTTGAAAGCATGAATAACTTCGATTTAAATAAAGTTTGGGTTGAATTGAAAACGAGTCACCCTTATCTTGTCGAGATTATGAACGCAGTGTCTGGCAAGGAGAAGTCCGCCGCAGAAACAAAGCGCGAGCTTCAGGTAAAGCACAGTTTTCTGTACTCGATCCTCATGAACGAGAGATGGCACGAACTCAACCTGGTGAAACGTGTGAATTCAGTTCTCATCATTGAAGGTGGATGTACCAAAAAGGTAATTCCCAGCTAATGATACATGTATAACATTGCATTGTTGTCCTTAATCAATTGTCATAGTCACAGTGCAGTATTTATTATTCACCAGTGTAACCATGCATTAAATACAAACTGCGTTTTATCCTCTTTTTATACAAAGCTCTGCAGAAATTTTATTATCGTGAGGTAGTTTTTGTCAGTTAGGTTGTGATTGTGATTCTAATTGAAAGATTCATCCAGAAAAATATTGTAAGTGATATTCATGATGAAGTTGTGAAATAGGAGGTTACTGCATGTGCATGTGTAGTTAATTTCTGCTTCCCTTGTAATCCCTAGCTTCAAGAACGACTGAACAAACTTGGTGTGTGCCTGTCATCTGGGAGAAGGGACACCCTGCTGAAGCTCTTATGGGGTCACTTTTCAGACAAAGTGGTGCAGAAAATAAAGAGAGGTAGTGTGTTCCGAGGTACTGGTGACAATTGGGACTTGAAAATTTTGAAAGGACACATGAGAAAGGAAATTCAGAATGAGGATCTGCACTTATTTGCTAGTAACTTGATTGAGAACCAAATTAACTTCAACCACTAGCCTAATGACAACCCTAAAGGAAACATTAAAGATTTCCCTCGATACAATTTTTTCCTTAATTGTACCTGAATGGAAACGATATGCAGAATGTGCCAAAATTGTTTTTAGTAGAATTGTTCTTGAGTCTTGCAAGTATCTTGGTAAAATGTGGAATTATTTCAGCTTTTACAATGTGACAGAAGGTCCTGTTTCTAATGAAAATATGTGGGGTACTTATCAGCAGACTTATCCAATTGTCATTGGTGGCTGGTTGGTTAGAACAGTGTGATTATTTCCAATGATCTATTGCAAAATGTCAGCAAATTTCCAACAACAGTAATACGTGATTCAGAGATCCATGTGAAGTTTGTGTACTAACAAACTTTAAAAGGTAGACAATCTTATGAGTATCATGGTAACAATGGAGATAATTGATATCTGTAGTGATTTTTGGTTTGTGAATTAAGATATATTTACAGTTGCTCACAGGATTTACAATTTAAGTTGATGTTCTCATCATAGTATTGTGCTCAGACAAAAAAAACAAAGCTAAACAAACTGATCAGTATCATAATAACAACAGAGATAATCAATATCAATACTGATTTTGGTGTGAATCAAGATACATTGTAGTAGTTTCCAATATCTATAATAAATATTGATGTTCTAATCATCATCAGAGTTCATTACGGTTCTACACAGAGTAGTGTGTACGCATATAAGCGAAAAGATCTGAGAGGAGCAGATTTTATCCCAGATATCAAAGGTCCTCAATAGGTCTGTTTCTGATTCAATATACTCCACTCCCTCCATAACTTTTGCAACCAGATCGTTATCTACAGAAATGTTATATAGCATGGAACTCTCTGATGCTGCTTGGGACTCTTGGGCAGAAATTGCACTCCTGATTAATCTTTCAAGGATGACACTGTTATTGTTGGGCAACATGAGATAGATCCTCTTCAGTTATTTTGAACTTTCCATCACATATACAACAACTAACGATAAAAACCGACGTTTCGGTGTCATCATGACGCCATTGTCAAGGAGAAATAAAAAATGAAGTTTGTGGCAAAGTGTAACATTAAATTAGCATAAATATGTTACGAGCTAATTAAACAAATACTTTTGCGCGAATTGAATCGCTTTGCACGTTCAGAGTGGGTTTTAAGTCTCTGATGAAAAGCATTTCGTTCACCAAACAATCGAACTTGTTACTACACTTTTTCAGAATGCTAAAACGTTTCAGTAGGTCTTTCGGGACTTCGCTGTGCTGTTCGTGGTAGTGTTTATATATTGAAGATGCCTTTCGTTTATGTCCATCCACGCGTGTGTGTAAGTGTCCGCGTGTATAGCCCACATAACCCGCATCACACAGGTCACATTGAAATTGATAAACGACGCGTTGTTGGTTGACAATCTGTGGCTTGATTTCTCGTACTTTAAGATCTTGGCTTACTTTGCGGCTAACAAATACTGGCTGGACAGTTGTCTGCACCTTCATGCTAAGATTCTTGAGCTCTTTCTTAACATAATTTGCTGATTCTTGATCTTTGAAAGGTATGACCACACGAACAATGGATATTGGTTCTTTGGGCGTCTGTGTGGGCTGCGTACCAACAATTCTTGATTGTAAGAAGGTGTTAATGGTAGAATTTACCAGGCGCCCCGGGTATTTAAGCCGTGCGAAAACTTTCTTTAGGCGATCACACTCATCAGAGAAATGGGCCCAGGAGGAAGATAATCGGTGTGCGCGATCCAGCATAGTTTTCAGCAAGCTCCGTTTGTAGCGATTGTCTACATGGCTTTGGTAGTGTAATAGTAGGCCCGTGTTTGTTGGTTTCACATATACCTTGGTTTCAATCCGAGGTGCATGGTTGAGTAGTTCGGTGCCAAGGAAAGGAAGCTTGCTGTTCTTCTCCACCTCCATGGTGAATTTGACCGAAGTGTGGGCGCTGTTGAGGGTATGCAAGAAGGTAGTTGCTGTTGCTAGATCAGGCATTACAGTGAGTGTATCATCAACATATCGACGATAATAGGATGGAAGTTTTCTTTGTCGCTCAAGGGTATCTTCGATGGATGACATGAAGACGTTTGCTAATAAGGGCCCGAGAGGGGACCCCATAGCAACGCCATCTGTCTGTTCGTATAGAGCTCCGTTAAATTGAAATAGTTGGCCTTTGGTGGCTACGTTTAGGAGGTCAATAAGATCTGTTCTGGTAAGGGCAAGATTGTGGGTAGTATTGAACCAATTGTTCGAAAAGGCTCTGTTAACCAAGATCTCTATTGTTTCGTCCAAAGGCACGTTCGTGAATAACGAGGAGACATCATACGAAACCAAGATTTCACCCTTGTTGATCTTCAGCTCGTGAATCTCTTTTGTGAAATCAAAATTATCAGTAACTGTATACTGATTAAGGGACAAGGGCTTCAATTTCTCGTCGAGCCATTTAGCAAGGGGAAAGTTGTACGTGTCGGTGGCTGATAATATAGGCCTCATAGCCAATGGTTCTTTGTGGGTTTTTGGCAACCCATATAAATGTGCTAATCTGGAACCTGTAGGGCTCACGGAATCTGCAATGGTCTTCGGTAGAATTCTACGAACAATGGAATCTAGGATCTTCTCTTTCTGTAGTAGGGGGTGGTAATATTTGGATGGTCTGCCCCTGGTCTTGGGTTTCTCCACGCAGCCCACACAGACGCCCAAAGAACCAATATCCATTGTTCGTGTGGTCATACCTTTCAAAGATCAAGAATCAGCAAATTATGTTAAGAAAGAGCTCAAGAATCTTAGCATGAAGGTGCAGACAACTGTCCAGCCAGTATTTGTTAGCCGCAAAGTAAGCCAAGATCTTAAAGTACGAGAAATCAAGCCACAGATTGTCAACCAACAACGCGTCGTTTATCAATTTCAATGTGACCTGTGTGATGCGGGTTATGTGGGCTATACACGCGGACACTTACACACACGCGTGGATGGACATAAACGAAAGGCATCTTCAATATATAAACACTACCACGAACAGCACAGCGAAGTCCCGAAAGACCTACTGAAACGTTTTAGCATTCTGAAAAAGTGTAGTAACAAGTTCGATTGTTTGGTGAACGAAATGCTTTTCATCAGAGACTTAAAACCCACTCTGAACGTGCAAAGCGATTCAATTCGCGCAAAAGTATTTGTTTAATTAGCTCGTAACATATTTATGCTAATTTAATGTTACACTTTGCCACAAACTTCATTTTTTATTTCTCCTTGACAATGGCGTCATGATGACACCGAAACGTCGGTTTTTATCGTTAGTTTTTGCTAGTCTTTGCATATACAACAACAGTTATCTTATTGAACACTGGAGAATCCAAAGTAATCCAGAAGAAGTTTCCTCTGACAGGTTTCTTGTGATTTGCAATAAGTTTTCATTGATTCTTCCACATGTTTCATATTATTTCCGATATCGTAATTATTGTAGTAAAGTGTAGCATACGATGAAAGTCCTGTGCGACCAGCACGACCAATTTTTTGTATGTATGCTTCAAGGCTACTTGGTGGTGTTATGTGAATAATGTTGACCACATAAGGAGCATGAACCCCCATGCCAAGTGCTGATGTTGCAAAGAGCACCCTCATCCTCGGATTTTCATTCTTTATTCCTGATAGTATATCTTTCTTCATGCGACTTGTCTGGGGGGCATGAAATTGAGCAAACAGTCTTGCAGGGGGTTCTGAAGTTTCTCCAACATACTGCTTGTCTCCCAATATTCTTTCAAATGATCCATAAGCATATCCACAGTTTTTCAGTTTTAGGTAGACAATTGTCATTGGGTAGTTTTCTCTCTGAATTGTTAGTTCATGGGCAGTGGGTCCAAGGATTCGATCATAAACTTCATTCCCATGGTGATTACTCAGGCGCACTTTCTTATTCAGGTATATGTTTACCCGGTTGGGGTTTTGCACAACAATTTTACACCAATTTTTTAAACGTAGCCTTTGCTTCAAATCCCTCAATAAATGAGGTGGTGCTGTTGCCGTTAGAGCCATTGTGGGTACATTGGGAAAAAAGGCCTTCGACACTGATAGATCTATGAAGTCCTTTCTAAATTCTTCACCCCTAAAAAAAGAAAAGTACACCTTGTAATACATATTTCCAACATTTTCTTTTGAGTAAACATGTTTCTGTAGAAGTATCTTTGTATTTCATAATTGCTCTCTCTTATGGATGGATATTTTTATTAAAAACTAATAAGTATACTGTGTACATATTGGATTTTATCTTGAATTTATCTTCTAGCACATGTCATTATATCCTCATTTACAATTTATTTTAGGTTTGGGGGTCAACTTAATATAGAGCTTAAGTTCTTCCCTGTTGGCACCCTCGTTGTATTCCTTTTTTATGCAAATGCTAATGACGTTCTTCAACTACAGTGCAACGACTTCAACCGGGGCCACCCAAGGTTATTTAACCAATCAGAAGCTGATTCGTTAACAAAGAACTTCGACTTTGTGGTTTTAAAAGCCAATCAGATTTGTTCCTAAATTTAACTTGGCGGTGGGAACAGACGCGACAGATCCTAAAGTACAAGTATCCTGAAGCGACCGCGATCAAACTTCGGGATTTACGGACCGGTCAAAATTTATAAACAATTAGAAAACAAGAAATGGCCTTTATTCCAACCAACAAACCTCAGAAAAATACGGAAGCCGAAAAATGTAAATCTAAAGGGAAATCCGCAACGAATATATCCGACTTTACATCTGTTTGTAGAACTTCGCTACTATGCGGTAAATACGGCTGGTAAAATTGTCGGTCAAACCTTTCCCAGCGACCAAACATTCTCCCGCCTAAAGTTTAAGTTAAACAGACATTTAAATGCAACAACTTGAATTGTGTATTCACATGTAAACTGTAAACTCAACATTTCAACATAACATAATGCAGTATAAATGATGCGGTCTTCCATTTACACTAGTGAAAGAATGTCATCATTAGCTCGCTTGTAACGCTCGATAATATAGGGCAATTCCCACTCTGAATCTTCGTTCAATGGAATTTTGTTGGCTAATGCTTTTTTAAGGATGAGTAATGTTACCCGTGCCCCAAGAACCACATTGAGAATCATTGAAACAAATAACGCTTCAAGAAAATGTATTTCTCGTTTTCTTCACAAACTACAACAACAACTATTTTCAACTATCCCTGATGTAAGTGACTACTATTATAAACACGAAGTAATCGTAATCGTTTTCGTATAAATTCTGATTTATTCCACTCTGATATCGTACAGAAAGAACCCCTCGAGTTAAATCACACGCCCCTAATATACACTAAATTTGATATCCTACAAAAACCAGTAAATCAAGTTGTTGTCATGTGCTCTCTTTGTACAAACAAAACGAAAAGCGTGACGACTTTGATTACATAACAAATACGCGTGACTGTTTATGACAACTACGTCACAAGCCACGTGTTTCCGTTACAATTATCGCTTATTTCTACTTGTTTACGCCTTAACAGTAAGTCCTTATCAAGTACAGTTCTGTCTACATATTTGATGTAGTTCTGTTTCCTCAGTCGAGGCCGCATCACACTGAAGAAGCTGTTTGTGGTTCTTTCTCTAGCTGCGTTAAACACATCAAATTTGCTCTTGCTTTTTCTCCAGCTCCTTAACTACTCCCCTCAGATCTTAAATCTCTGCTCGGAATTCTGGATGTTTGTCACTATTGTGACAAAAGTCAGTACCTTTACATGGAGCGTTTCTGCATTTGCTTTTATTATGGCCAGGCAGGTGACAGGCTGAGCATAGCTTTTTGCGTTCGGTACTCCCGGAGCCATAATTTTCGAACTCGTGTTTTCATCTCCAACACGTCTTTAGCACTTTGAATTTACGCAGCCAATAAGTCATTGTCATTTTTGAGGTCATCTTCTCTTCTTTTTAGATATGACGCAGGCTGGGTAGGAACTTGCGGCTTCCTCAGAAGTTTTTGCGGTAAGACGAAAATTTTTGCTGATGCTGGTGTTGTTGAGAAAAACAACATTTGCTGCGGAAGGGCTGGTGAATGTAGGAGTCTGATCATAGGATACTTGCCTGGGTATGTAACGATGTCGCCCGGATGGCCGTATAATAAACCAGATGTAACTATAGAAAGAAACTACACTTTATTTGGCCGCCATGACACCCGGAAAACATGGCCCACACAGCTATCCATGATCCTTTGCACATTTTCAATTTCCGAGAACTTCCGCTAACACAACTTCCTGTAAACAATACTATCAATACATTACAGGGTAAAGCGGGAAAAAGCTCTCGTGGTGGTAACTGTCCTCTCTTCAGGCTCTTCGCCTTCTCTATTTCACTTTCGATGATTCGTTTCTCCGCCATCAGCAATTTGTGAGGTGAAGGAAACAGGACATCGAGATCCGACGACTTTATGTATTTCAAAGAATCTACCGTGCGGAAACCTCTGCTTTCCAGTTCCCCAGCTAGACGCTCGGGTTCGAGTCCATTAGAGTGACAGCTGTCAAAACTTCTTAGGCTTGAAATTTTCATTTCTCGGAAAAAAGATAATAAACCACGCTTAAATTCAATTCTATTACATCGTAACAACGAAGCCACTAAGGTTTTTGGTACTTATATTTGATTTTTCCACGAAATATTTATACGAAAAAAAAATAAGTAACAATCCACACTTACAAAATTTATTTTTTATTTTCTAAAAAAAGGTGAACCACTAAGTTCTTTGTTTATCGGATGTAATTTTCCTCGAGCACCAAGGCAATTCCATCATAGTAGTCATTGATAAATTAGTTCATAGCGAAAATGTGTCGTGTTTTATAAATAGAGAATAAAGCAGAATTTCGCCGAATTGTAATCGCCTACTTTTCACCTACAGTACAAACATTCTGGTACGTTTGCTAAACGTAATTGTAGAGAATTGTCTTGCCCCTAAGATAAAAAAAGAGCGCGACCCATTATAGCCAATCCAGTCGTGAAAATGCGACCCCATCCAGCGGCACATCCCCATTAGCCTCTCAGAAGGAAGTCTTCCCCCCCCCCTGCCCCCCCCCCGGGATGATTACGACGAGAAATGTTCTATTTCGGATCCTGTTTTTAAGTTTTGAGGAGGACGCAGAGTCTGTCCTTTTGAACTTGACGAATTTCTTAACAATTTCACTCTTGACGGTTTCAACCACATCTGGCAAACTAAGCGACCCGAAACAATCGCGAGGACTGTTTTAAGTGACGATTTCGCTGCCGTCGAGTCCTGAATCTTAAACTTCCTAATTTTAGTGCGGTTCCTTCGAGCGACCACTACGCTATCTTTTTCTTTGTCGACCGTCACTTGTTATCATTAACTTACCTTTCCCGCAGTTGTTACAAAAAGTGCAATTGTCGACATCTCTTCCGCAGTTGCTACAAAACATCCCGACGACAACAGTGGTACCATGTGCAGGAACAAAATGACGGTCGGGTCAAAGCCGAGTGAAAACTGACCATAGTTTTCATTCTCCGACTGCTGACCGTTTAATTTGAGCAATTTGTTTTTGATGTGAGTAATTGGTATTTGATGTGAGTAATTTGTTTTTGATGTGAGCAATTTGTTTTTGATGTTAGGGTTTTGTTTTTGATGTGAGCAATTTTTTATTTGATTTGAGCAATTTGTATTTGATGTTACAGTTGTGGGCCACCGTAGTAAATTACTTGCCACTTCAATAATGTTGGGAACATGAACTCACCGCAAATAATACTGGGACATCTTAGTTAGTACTCAAGACCCTTTCGGCTTCTTTTGTTGTACCTGTGCCTGTTCGTAATAAGCTTTGCCTGTCACTATTACGCTGTACCTGTCCCTATTACGTTGTGCCTGTTCCTAATGAGCTGTGCCTGTTCCTAATGCGCTGTGCCTGTTCTTTATAAGCTGTGCTTGTTCCTAATACGCTGTGCCAGTTTCTAGTTAGCCCTACCTGTTCCTACTACGGTGCCTAACTTTCGTTGTGCCTGTTCCTATCAGGAATTGGATTTTGGAAAATGAATGGCGAAGGGAGTACAGGACAAAATGCGTGGGAATGTCTCGCTGACCAAAGGGATCGCGGGGTCTATGAAAGTGCGCACACAACCTTTTTTGTTTCTTATTTGCAACGTTCACTTATTTATTTGCAGTGTCCATTATTTTGGGAGGGTCTGAGTATCCCGTATATCCCATTAATTTTAGGCCAAAATATCCCGTATCCCTATAACGCCAGTTACCATGATGACGTCATTGAGCGTGATATGTTTAGGTATCCGACAACTAAAATACATTTTCCAGGGGCGTTTCATATTTCAAATAGAAATGCAAATAAGACATCATGCTAATCGATGGTATGATCTTATGTAATATTCTGTAAAGAATTGCTAAGGGACTGAAGTGACTTAAAAGCAATGAGTAACCGGGAAAGTGGCGCAAAATGGAAAAAGCCGTGGGGGAGGGGGAAAGTTCATCTTAGACAAGAGCCGATATCGGCACGTATTGTCAATATTGACAATATTTGATGGCAAAAAGTAAAAAATCGCATTTGAAAGTATTTTTTCACTATTTACGCCTTCCACATTGACTAATATTGAGTACTTGCCAGTACTGACTTGCTGTACTGGCAAGGTAAATTCTATATCCATTAAAATCTTTGATATTTATGGTTAGTGATACTCCGTGAATGAAAAATAATGCATGTGCTGCATACAAATATATGTACAACTTATAGAATTAGGTAAACATAAAATTAGAATCAAAGCGAATATTTTCTGATGACTCAAGACCCTACATACAGATATGATGTAGTGTAACATGCAAGATTTTTTCAACTGCCCTACTGACATCTTGTGTACCTAAAGCTACAATAGGTGCAATAGATGTGTCAGTGGCAACAATGGCAGAGGAAGAACGCTTACAGACAGGAGAAGTTTACACAGTTGGATTTGTGCCATCTTATGACTTACCTGATGCACGGCCAAACTGTATTGATCCTTTTCTTTTGCCACTTATTAGTGATATTGAGAAAGGATATATTGAGGTACTAATTTAGATGTGGACATTTTAGCTACTCGTCACTGTAGGAATAGACAAGACTATGCTTTTTATAACTTGTCAATATTATTATCTCAGTTGCTTTCAACTACTAAGTTAAGATGCTATGCTGACACAACAAAAATAAATCGTTCAACAGTTTCAGACACAACATGCTTAGGGTCAGTGATATCAGCAACATTGACCAAGCTGTTGAGTAACATGTATCCTTCTTAAAGTAAATCCAGTCTAAACTTAACACTTATTCATTTGTTTTGTTTTTAGGATATTAAGTGAGCTATGCAGGATCATTTCCAAATTTTCCACCTGCCAATATCTCAATTCGGCATATTATACTGTTTTGGACAGGAGACCATCCTGCATAGTGTGAGGTGTGTAAGACGAAAGGTACTGGAGCCAGAAAAGGATGTCGAAGGTGTCATATATGTGGGTAGGTGGTGGAAGTTAAAAACAGTGCAAGTTCTGATACCCATTCTTTTCAGTCTACACGTGTTTACTACATAATGTATTCTCTCAATTACACAGAGTATTAAAAGCATTTGTCTGTAAACTAGGAATAATGCATTATTTCTTGGTTATTCCATGTAGGTACACGGCTGAGTGAACGCAATCACAGCTACTACCCAACCTTCAGGAAGCAATACAGATACCCTTATCAAAAGAAGTTGCTCAAGGAAGAATTGCCGACAATGAAGGCTTTAGAAGAGGAAGAAAGACCTACCTATTTCCGAAGAATAAGGAAGGAAATTCTCTGCTGGGGTTATCAGTTCTTTATAGGCCTTATCCCCTTTATGGATATGATTTTCTCAGGGACTCCGTCTTTGATGCTATACGTCAGTATAAGATTTCTAGTCTCAGTTTTTCTCGGTCATATCATACCGAGCTTATTTCATTAGCAGACTGAAACCCACGTGGGGGAGCCAACATATTTGCTTTATCAAGCTCGGTTGATACTAAGATATTTAGTTATTAAAGGACAACTCAGACGTCGGCTGCTACACTCATTCTCTCCCCGGTGTATAATAGTGCTTTAATCAAGTAACACGATTGTACCAGCTTATTACACAGTTGATCAACGAATAAAGACAGAATGTAGAAAGTAATTAAATAGAGAAAATTCTTTCTGGAGAAAATGTTTTTAGTGAAGTCTACGCCTTTGAATTCTCTATCAACACTTTGTCAGGGAAAAAGACTTGGGAGAGTGGAACGATTCCATCCCATCTAAAGCCCTAAAACGCTTAAAAAGGTATAAGGAACAGTATTGAGAAACAAAAGATACAAACATGTTTGTGGTTGGCTAAAAATATTTTTATTAGTAATCCCAAATGTTTGAGAAGACTCGATGCGCATAAGCGAGCATTATAACCAACCAGATGAATATCAATGTTACAAATTAAACATTCATTTTCCACAATGTTCCCTTTTAAACGAAGGTTTCTTTGCTTTTTGTGATTAAAACCTCATTTCTGAGTCTTTCTGCAAAGAGTTGCTCGTCACTCGCATCATAAGGTACATCCCACACTTGGAGATCATCTGCGTCCTGTGCAAAACACAGGGGTGGCTTAAGCACCGCCTTGTTCAGGTCACTCGTTGAACGCACAGGACGCAGATTCTCCTGCCATGTTTTAGCGCGTGTTTTGGGATCTGGAGATGGATCATACAGGTCTTCCCAGAAAAATTCCGCCTTCTTTTCTATCGCTTGAACATCTTTTTCCAAGGCTGTTTTTCGAATTCCGCATTCACTGTGGAGAGAAAAAGTAAGAAATCAGCGGTTGTTGTCAGTTTGACTTACGAGTTTCTAACCCTGACCATTAATGGAAACATGACCTGACTGATTTATCTTTTCCCATCCCATCTCACCATATCGTTCCATCCATTTATTTTTCATTATTTAGTCAACTTATGATCTACTCACATGATATATGACATCAGCTCCTTGCGCTCCTCTAAAGCTCGTCCCAGTTCACTCTCAATCTCCTCTACTTGAGTCATCAGATTGTGTCTGATGTCTCTTCTCCTGTTTTCTTTTTCTTCTACAGCTTTTTGTCGCTGCCTGAACAACTCAACAGCATCCCTGTTAAAAACAATCCAACAATTAGTATCACCAATGAGGTCAACAACCTTGACTTGTCCATAGAATTTAATCGCACAGCGAAATTTCGAGAATTCATCACTCCTGATGTCGAGCATTTATTTTTTAAAGATGCGATTGCAGAAATCTGTCACGCTACTGCAAGATCCTCACATAATATAAACTTTTTACTGTCTACATTACCTTGTGATGTGGACATCTTGTTCAAGTATTCTGATTAATTCTTGCATGCTTGCAAGTTCTCTTTCCATTTGTCTTCTGTAGGAGAAAACGGAGAATCGACCGTAAGTTAAAACATTTCAGTTAGCAACAAAGACAAACGCACTCAGTAAGTGAACGAAATAATTCTTACTTCGACTTATAATTTCTTTGTCCAGAACCAAAGCAGTTTAA